GCGAGCGACAGCGCCCTTCCTGAGACTCGGGCCCTCTCTAGCCAGGGCGTTTTGTCGCACATTGTGAGGAAACATCGCGCGGGAGGGTTGTTGAATTCTCATCTTTTTCAGGATTATGGTTGATCACCCCACTCCGGTTGACCTGCTGTTTTTTCAGTTAAGGTATTCCTCCTGGGGCTCGCAGCCTGTTTTTCTAACAGGGGGAATCTTGGTCCTCAAACTGTGCCCCAGGCGCCCATTTTACAACAACACCAGCTTCGCGCTCTCGCGCGGGACTTCGTCATAATTTGTGCACGAATCTCGCTCTCGCATGGCATCTCCTTATAATTTACTGCGGCGCCGTCCCCCCAAGACTCAGGAATCACGCTCTCGCTGTGGATTTCCTCGCGACTTACTTGGGAATCGCGCTATCGCTCGAAACTTCCTTGCGATCCACCCGCCCGCTCGACCTGGCAATCTGGGCCCGCCCGCCCAACCTGCCCAACAATGTCCGCCGGCCCGACCCGCCCGTCTGGTTCTGCCGCTGGCACTCCTGCTCCTGGCCCTCCTCCTGCAACGCACCCTTGTGCTCCACCCTTCTCCCTCCCCCTCGTCGCTTCCCCTCGTCTCTCCCTCTTCCCTCCATCCTTCTCCCTCCCCATCGTCTCTTGTTGTTGTCGTCGTCGTCGTCGTCGTCGTCGTCGTGGTCGTGGTTTCTGTTGTTGTTGTTGTTGTTGTTGTTGTTGTTGCTCTAATTGTTGTTGTTGCTGAGTTCTCACTTCTGCAGACTAATTATTGTTGATCCCCCCCGCCCGGTGCACATGGTACGTTTTCAGTTTTTACCAAGGAAAATCTTGAGCGTTAAACTGCGCTCCTGGCCCCCGAGTTGTAACAACAACGGCTCACGTCTGATACGCCCTCGCAATTTATTCCCAAATCGCGCTCTCGCGCGGGACTTCCGCACAAATTGTGCAGGAATCGCTCTCTCGCGTGGGAGTTCCTCGGGATTTCTTCAGACGCCGCGCCCTCGACACTCAAGAATCACGCTCTCGCTGTGGATTTTATCACGATGTATTCGGGAATCGCGCTATCGCTCGAGCCCTCCTCGCGATTCATGCAATACTCACGCTTCAGCAACACGCCTTCACGACCAGGCCGCTTGGGCCCGCCTTCCCGACCTGCCCGTGAGGGTCTATCCGCCCGATCTGCCCGTGTGGTTCTGCCATCTGTTTTCTGCTTCTAGCCCCCACTTGCTACTCTGCCTCGTGCTCCATCCTCCTTCCCCCTTGTCACTTCCTTCCATCCGTCCTCTCTTCCCCTGCCTCAGACGCTGCACGACATACGCGTTGCAGGTAATATATATATATATATACACATACACATATACTTCTACCCCCAAGGGGTTATGATCGAAGACGAAGAAGGCGGGTATCGAGATTTCTGGATATACGTGTTGAATGGCCCGCGAGCAGATGAGAGCGAATAGTCTTGAAATGGTTGTTGTTGTTCTTGGTGTTGAACCCTCAATTCTAAAACATAACTGTGGTTGATCCCGCTCTGCCCGGTGCCCACTGAGCTGTTTCAGCGAAAGTGCTCCTCCCGGGGTTCGCACCATGTGTTTCAAAAGAGAGAATGAAGGGTCACCGAATTAGACCCCTGGCCCCCGAATTACAACAACTACGGCTCCCGCTTGATACTTCCTCACAATCTATTTCAAAGTCTTGATACAGGAATCGCGCTTTCGCGTAAAAAATTATCCCAAGATATTCAAACGCCGCGCCCTCGACGCTGAGGAATCGTGCTCTCGTTCTTGTTTTTCTCGCGGTTCACTTGGGATTCGGACTATCGCTCGAGCCCTCCTCGCGATTCATGCAATACTCACGCTTCAGCAACACGCCTTCTCGACCAGGCCGCTTGGGCCCGCCTTCCCGACCTGCCCGTTAGGGTCTACCCGCCCGATCTACCCGTCTGGTTCTGCCATCTGTTTTCTGCTTCTAGTTTGATGGTTAATCCCGAGCTCCATCCTTCTCCCCCTTCCATCCGTCCTCTCTTCCCTGTTTTCAGGGCTGCGCTGCACAGCCTGCACGCGGCTGGCAGGGAAGACATACCTCCAGAGGGGGTACGATCAAAGACGAAGAGGGCGGGTATCGAGGGTTTGGGATCTACATCTGGCGTGCCACGCGAGCAGTTAAGAGCGAGCAGTTTGGAACACATTGCTGTTGTTATTGATCGTGTTGTTGTGGGGCTCTCATTGAAGCAACAAGTATTGCTAATGCCCCTCACCGGTGCACATGGTGTTTCTTGAATTGAAGTGCCCCCATCGGGGCTCGCACCCTGTTTTTTGGATCAAGGAAAATCGTCCTGCTCAAACTAGATTGTTGGGGCCCGAACTGCAACAACAACAACAACAACAACAACACCAACACCAACAACAACACCAGCAACAACAACACCAACATCAACCACACCCAGAACATCAACAATCAAGTTAGTTATGTTCGCTCTTACTTGCACGCGTGTTTTGCATTCTGTATACCCCAACCCTCGATACCCGCCCATTTCGTCTTCGATCGCACCCCTTTTCGGGAGGAATATCTTCCTTGTCGGCCACTGACTGCAGTGCGAGGAAGTCTCGAGCGAGAGCGCCGTTCCTGAGTTCGGGGGCCTCTCTAGCCAGGCCAGGGGCTCTCGGAATACATATGGAGAAATATCAAACGGGAGCCCTTGTCGCCGTGTCTGGGCCTCCATCAACCTGCTTGAATTACGAGAAATCTCGAGCGAGATCACCACTCTTGAGTTCGGGGGCCTCTCTGGCAATGGCCTATGCGAATATATCTTGAAGAAATATCGAACGACAGCCCTAGTCGTCGTAGTTGGGCCTCCACCTATTTGACTGAATCACGAAGAAATCTCGAGCGAGAGCGCCGTTCCTGAGTTCGGGGGCCTTCCTGCTCTCGGAGTAAATCGTGCAGAAATATCGAGTAGGAGCCCTTGTCGTCGTGGTTGGGCCTCCGGCAACTTGATTGAATTGCGAAGAAGTCTCGAGCGAGAGCGCCGTTCCTGAGTTCGGGGGCCTCTCGAAGGGGAGCCGGCAGGTATGGAAGCTATGCCCCCAAGAGGGGTACGATCGAAGACGAAGAGGGCGGGTGCCGATGGTTTGGGATCTAACTGTTGAGCGACACGCGGGCAGACAGGAGCGAACATGTCTTAACATGAATGCTGTTGTTGTTGCTGCTGTTGCTGCTGTTGTTCTTGCTTGTTGTTTTTGTTCTTATTGTTGCTGTTGATCTTGTTGTTGTTGCTGTCGTTGTTGCTGTTGAGCTCTCACCACTGAGCAATAATTATTGTTGATCCCCTCCTCCAAGGCACACCGTGCCCTCCCCGGGGCTCGCGCCCTGCTTTTTTTACAAGGGGAAGTGAAGGGTCACCAAATTAGACCCTGGCCCCCGAGTCACAACAACAACGGCTCCCGCCTTACACTTCCTCTTAGTTTATTTACAAATCGCGCTTTCGCGCGGGACTTCTTCACAGTGTATGCAGGCATCGCGCTCTCGCGTGGGACTTCCTCGCGATTTATTCAGACGCCGCGCCCTCGACACCCAGGAATCACGCTCTCGCTCTGGCCTCTCTCACGATTTACTTGGACATCGCGCTATCGCTCGAACTCTCCTCGCGATTATTCATGCACGACTCACGCTTCAGCAACCTGCCTGCTCGAACTGGCCTTCTGGGCCCGCCTTCCCGACCCGCCCGTTAGGGCCTACCCGCCCGATGGGCCCGTCGGGTATGCCACGTGTTTTCTGCTCCTCGCCCCCGTCCTGCTAATCCCGTGCTCCACCCGTCTCCCTCACACTTCCATTCGCCCTTTCTTCCCCTGCTTGAGGTGCTGCACGGGATACACGTTGCAAGCAAGAAGTATTTACCCCCCAAGGGCATACGATCGAAAACGAAAAGGGTGGGTATCGAGGGTTTGGGATATACGTGCTGAATGACACCCGAACAAATACGAGCGAACATTCTTAAACTTATTGTTGTTGTTGCAGCTGTTAAAGTTCATGCTGGTGTTACTGTTGTTGGTGATGTTCTTGTCCTTGTTGCTGTTGTTTGTGTTGTTATGTTGTCAAGTCTAAACAATAATCATTGTTGATACCCCCCTCCGGTAACCATTGCATCTTTCAATTAAAAAGCTCCTCCAGGGGCTCGCGCCCGGTTTTTTACAAGGGAAGGCTGGGTGTAACCAAACTTTGCCTCTGGCCCCCGGTTTACGGTTTACAACAACAATGGCGCCCGCCAGACATCTACTCACAGTGTGATCCAAACTCGCGCTCTCGCGCGGGACTTCCTCACACTGTATGCGCGCTGCGCCCTCGACACTCAGGAATCACGCTCTCGCTCTGGCATTTCTTACGATTCAGTTGGGACTCGCGCAATCGCTCGAGACCTCCACGAGACTTCAGCAGGACTCACGCTTCAGCAACCCGCCTGCTCGACCTGGCCGCCTGGGCCTGCCTTCCCGACCCGCCCGCTAGGGGCTGCCCGCCCAATCTGCCCGTCTGGTTCTGCCACGTGCTTTCTGCTCCCAACCCGCTCCTGCTAGTTTCTCTCGTGTTTTATCATTTTCCCTCCCCGTTCCATCTGACCTTCTTCCGCTCTTTTAGGGGCTGCACTAAATACGCGTGGCAGGTAAGGAAGACATACCCCCAAGGAAGTATGATCGAAGACGAAGAGGGGGTTTGGGATATACGTGCTAAATTGCACGCGAGCAGTTAGGAGCGGACAGCCACAAAATGATTGAGCTCCCACGACCGAAAACAAGTGGCACGCGTGCCCTGGCTCTTGCACAAAGGAGCTGCGAAGGACAGGAGGCCCTCGCCTCCTTCCTCCAGGAGGGGTTTAGGAGGATCCAGGAAGAAAGCGGAGGAGGAGGACGACGACGACGACGATTTCTGGGGCCTGGCCTGGTTTTGTTTCTAGGCCTTGGCCAAGAGTGCCTCCGTGGCCCAGGGGGGCTACCCTGGGGAGCGTGGACAGGGGGGGGGGGAGGACGAACGACACGACGAACGACGAAAATAAAGGGTTCCGTGGCCCAGGGGGGCTACCCTGGGAAGCGTGGACAGGGGGGGGGGGCGAGGGGTACCCTGGGAAGCGTGGACAGGGGGGGGGCGAGGGGGACGGGGGGGGGCGAGGGGGACGAACGACACGACGAACGACGAAAATAAAGGGTTCCGTGGCCCAGGGGGGCTACCCTGGGAAGCGTGGACAGGGGGGGGGGCGAGGGGGACGAACGACACGACGAACGACGAAAATAAAGATGTCCGAGCTCTAGAGCACAGCTGTGCAAGAGAATGAAATATTGTTGATCCCCCCTCCCTGGCACACTGCATTTTTTGAATTGAAGTGCCCCCCCCGGGGCCCGCACCCGGTTTTTAAGGGAAAGTCTTGGGTCTGAGAATTGGGGCCCTGGCCCTGGAGTTACAACAACAACAACAACAACAACGGCTCCCGCCAAGTACTTCGCCACAATTTATTCCGAAATCGCGCTTTCGCGCGGGACGTCCTGTCAATGTATGCAGAAATCAAGCTTTCGCGTGGGACTTCCTCGCAATTTACTCAGACGCCGCGCCGTCGACACTCAGGAATCACGCTCTCGCTCTGGCTTTTCTCACGATTTGCTTGGACATCGCGCTATCGCTCGAGACTCGCGACTCATGCAGGACGCATGCTTCAGCCTCACGTCTTCTCGACGTGGCCGCCTGGGCCCGCCTTCCCAACCCGCCCGTTAGGATCTACCCGTCCGACGTGCCCGTCTGGTTTTGTCACGGTTTTCTGCTCCAAACACCTTCTCCTGCTACTCTCTCTCTCTCTCTCTCTCTCGTGCTCCATCCTTCTCCCTCCCCCTTGCCCCTTTCTTCCATCCCTCATCTCTTCACCTGCCGTAGGGGCTGCATGAAATACACGTTGCAGGTCGGAGGTAAGGGGGTGAGATCGAAATGGAACGGAGAGCCCCCCTACCGGGAAATCGGTTTCGGTTTCGTGTTCGTGCGTGCCGTGCGTGCGGGCGAGGCGAAGCTGTGTGGGCGGGCGAGAAGAAAGTCTCCTCTGGCAGAGGCGCGGCCGGACCAAATGTTTCCTGTCCGGGGGCCGGTGGCGCGCGGTGTCCCGCTGGTGTCCCGCCTCCGGCTGAGGCGCGGCCGGACCAAATGTTTCCTGTCCGGTGGCCGGTGGCGCGCGGTGTCCCGCCGGTGTCCCGTCGGTGTCCCAATGATGATGATGATTGTGATGATGATGATGATGATGATGATGATGATGATGTCGATGATGTTGATGATGATGATGATGGTGATGGTGGTGATGATGATGGTGTCCCGATGATGATGATGATGGTGATGCTGACCATGTTGATGATGATGATGGTGATGGTGGTGATGATGATGGTGTCCCGATGATGATGATGATGACGTTGATGATGATGTTGCTGATGATGATGCTGGCGATGGTGTCCTGAATATGGTGATGATGTCGATGATCATGATGATGTTGATGTTGATGATGTTGATGATGAGATGGTGATGATGATGAAGAATATGATGATGATGATGATGATGATGATGATGATGATGATGGTATCCCGATGATGATGAGGTTTATGATGATGCTGTTGATGATGCTGTTGATGATGATGATGATGATGGTATCCCGATGATGATGTTGATGATGACGATGATGGTGTCCCGATGATGATGATGTTGATGATGAGGTTGATGATGAGGTGGTGATGATGGTTTTGATGATGGCGGCCCGATGATGGTGATGATGCTGATGCTGATGATGGTGTCATTGTGATGATGATGATGATGATGGTGACGATGATGATGGTGTCCCGATGATGATGATGTTGATGATTCTGATGTTGCTGATGATGACGGTGTCCCGATGAGGTTGATGTTGATTATGTTCATGATGATGCGATAATGATGATGATGATGATGGTGGTGTCCCGATGATGATGATGGTGTCCCGATGATGATGCTGATGATGATGGTGTTCCGATGATGATGATGATGGTGGTGGTGGTGATGATGATGTTGATGATGAGGGTGATGATGATGATGATGCTGATGATGATGATGATGATGATGATGATGGTGTCCCGATGATGATGATGATGCTGATGATGATGATGATGATGATGATGTTGATGACGTTGATGACGATGCTGTTGCTGATGATGACGTTGATTGTGAGATCGATTGTGGTATCGATAGTGAGATCGACCGTGCGACCGAATGTGAGATCGATTGTGGGATCGATAGTAAGATCGATAGTGAGATCGATTGTGAGATCGATCGTCAGATCTATTGTGAGATCGATCGAATGAAATAGATCGAGTGGGATCGATTGTGAGATCGATCGAGTGAGATCGATCGAGCGAGACAGGTAGTGAGATCGATAGTGAGATCGATAGTGAGACCGATCGAGTGAGACGTTGGTTCCTCCCCCCCGAACCTCCTTATAAAACCCGAAGGGTGGTCGTATCCTGGGGGGGTACGATCGAAGACGAAGAGAGCGGGTACCGAGGGTTTGGGATATACGTGTTGAATGGCACGCGCGCAGATGAGAGCGAACTATCTTGAAGTAACTGTAATTGAACTCGCACTATTTAGAAATAACTATTGTTGATTCCCCCTCCTCCGGCAGCATATGTGCTGTTTCAATTGAAGTGCGGCCCTCTGGGGGCGGGAGGGCCGAAACGCGCTCCCCGAACACACATCTCTGGAGCGCCCAGCCGCGAGAAAACTGAAGTCCAGCACCCGTGGAAGCGGGACGCCGACGCCTTCACCAGTCGGCCCACCTGGCCGCCAAGCCGTGCGGCGCGCCTCGGCGGGCGCACCGCCAGCGCCACGGCCAGCAGCGCGGCCGCCACGCAGCCCGTGCCCGCCGCCGCCGCTGCCTGCCGCGTGCCCGCGCCACTTGCGGAGTTGGCGGGGCGAGGCGGCGCCGAGGCCTGCGGACTCGCCGCGCGGGCGCCCAGCGGGGCGGCGCCGCCTCGCTGGAGGCCTCCTCTGAGACCCTGCCCCCACCCCCGTCGTCGTCGTCGTCGTCCTCCTCCTCCTCCTCCTCCTCCTCCTACTCCTCCTCCTCCCCCTCCTCCTCATTCTCCTCCTCCTCCTCCTCCCCCTCCTCCTCAACATCCTCAACCTGTGGGGCGCCCCTTCCGCTGGGGGCGGTCGGGTGGCCTGCCCAGAGGCCCACTTCAGACCACGGGCGCGCTGCCTCACCTCCTCCCCGAAACTCTGGATCTGCAAGGACTCTCGTTTTTGAGGGCCCTGGGGTCTGCCGAGGGCCGCCCAGGAGGCCAGAAGCGGTCAAACACTTCCCGTCGTGCTTTGTCAGGAGCGCTGGTCTGGAGCCCCCTCGCCCCCCCAGCGCGAGGCCAGCCCGCTCCGCGTGGAACGGAGGCTGTCAGGAGTGGCCCATCGGCACTGGCCCAGGGTGCCCCCCAGCACTTCGCGCCGTCCTGGAATCACGTCTCGGGTCGGCCGAAAGAGTGGGGTGCAGTAAAGGGGGGGGGCAGCGAATCGGCTCACGTAGCGGATTTCTTTGGCGCCAGAGGCGCCATACACATATCGACCGGCCCCCTTGCGGGGCCGACAGGCTGCGAGGCTTAGGTTTACTGCGCCCTGCACCAGTTCCAGCTTCCAGTTTCCAATGTTACAGTGTTGCTTTCTGCTTCTTACTGTAAGTTGATACTGTCCGCGCGAGGGGTGGGAGCCGAAAACCAGTTCGGCTAGCTTCCCCGAATCGCGTGGTGTGAATTTCTGGGGGGCCGTGGGACACGTGAAAATACATGAGATTCGCGCTCCCGACGGGATCGTACCTTTTTAAATTGCGCTGTATTCGCGCCCACGAGGCCAAGATCCCTTGTAAATTACACCGTGGCCGCGTCCCCCAAGCCACTGTCCCTTGTAAAATAAACCATGTTCACGCTCCTGAGGCCACGATCCCTTGTAAATTACGCCACGTTCTCGCATCGGGGGCCACGATCACTAGTAAATTACGCCACAACCGCGCCCCCGAGGCTACGATCCTTCGTAAATTACGCCACTTTCCTGCCCCCGAGGCCACGATCTCCCGTAAGTTGAACTACGATCGCGCCCTCGATGCCACGATCCCGCGTAAATTCACCACATTCGCGCCCCCGAAGCCACGATCCCTCGTAAATCGCGCCGCATTCGCGCCCCCGAGGCCACGATCTCCTACAAGAGGCCCCAAGAGGCGCCCAAGACGCGCCCAAAAGGCCCCCAAGAAGCTCCAAAGATCTCCCCACGAGGCCCCAAGAGGCCCCCAAGAGGTGCCAGGCACCCGAGAGGTTCCCCACGACATCCCAACACATATACAAGAGGCCTCAGACCTACAACCCAGGCACGGTAGCGGGATGGGTCGAAGGCCACTCGGATAACGCCAACGTTTCAACATGTGCTGATGACTCGTATCCACCCCCGCATGCTGTTCCCAGATGCGCCAAGGCAGCGCCGAGACGCACCGGCGCGACTCTGTCATATCCCATTATGATAGAGAGGGGGCCGGCGGCAGGGGGCGAAACCCTTCGGAATGAATTTATTTATTTATCTATTTATTTATGTATTTATCATTTTATTTAGTTATTTATCTCTATATATATATGTATATGTCTATATATATATGTGTATATGTATATATATATATATACACGTAGCACCCCGCAGATGCTGATAAGTTGGCTGATAAGAGTGAGTGGGCGGTGGGGACGACGGCAATTTGCCCGCCGCAGGTGCCACAGTTTCACAAATTATACAACGAGCCCACGGTTGGCGCCGATTTGTTCGTTAAACCAATGTGGGTAGGTCGTGGGTGGGTCGCAAATGGGTCGCGGGTGGGTCGCGGGGTGAGTCGCAGGTGGGTCACTGTTGGGTCGCGGTTGGGTCGCGAGTGGGTCGCGGGTGTAGAGGGCAGAAAATCCACCCCATAATAATCACCCCGGCAAGCGAAGCCGTTTAGTAAACGCATACAAGGAAATAATCGAATATGGCAGGGTTGTTTAGTCAACGCCCAAGGCCGTTTAGTAAACGTTCATTGTCGGGTCCGGGTGGTTTTTCGTTGCTTGAGGGTGGGTCGCAGGTGGGTCGCGGGGTGGGTCGCGGGGTGGGTCGCGGGTGGGTCGCGGGGTGGGTCGCGGGTGGGTCGCGGGTGGGTCGCGGGTAGGTCGCGGGGTGGGTCGCGGGTGGGTCGGGGTTGGGTCGCGGTTGGGTCGCGGGTGGGTCGCGGGTGGGTCGCGGGGTGGGTCGCGGGGTGGGTCGCGGGTGGGTCGCGGGGTGGGTCGCGGGTGGGTCGCGGGGTGGGTCGCGGGTGGGTCCTGGGGTGGGTCGCGCGTTGGGCCGTGGGGTGGGTCGCGGGGTGGGTCGCGGGGTGGGTCGCGGGTGGGTTGCGGGTGGGACGACGAACAACAACAGCAACAACAGCAACAACAACACCAACAACAACAGCATCAACAACAACAAGTTAACAACCAGAATTCTCACCACTGATTCCTTATTCAGCCACGCACCCAGGGACAATGAACGACCGTTCGGCCCCCTCACTCTGATTATACAACGAGCCCGCCGCAGGCGCCGATTTTTTCGTTAAACCAATGTGGGTAGGTCGCGGGTGGGTCGCAAATGGGTCGCGGGTGGGTCGCGGGGTGGGTCGCGGGTGGCAGGGCTGTTTGGTCAACGCCCAAGGCCGTTGAATAAACGTCAATTGTCGGGTCCGGGCGGTTTTTCTTTCCTTGAGGGTGGGTCGCGGGGTTGGTCGCGTGGGTCGCGGGTGGGTCGCGAGTGGGTCGCGGATAGGTCGCGGGGTGGGTCGCGGGTGGGTCGCGGGTTGGGTCGCGGGTGGGTCGCGGCTGGGTCGCGGGGTGGGTCGCGGGGTGGGTCGCGGGTGGGTCGCGGGTGGGTCGCGGGTGGGACGACGACAAACAACAACAAAGTTGACACGTGACCATGTTGCCCGTTCACCGGGAAACTTGGTCAATGCTTGTCCTTAAAGGACAACCCGTGACCTTGCTTCCCGGGGGTAGGCCCCCCCCCTGGCAACCAGCAGCCGACAACCTCGGGCTCCACTCCTCGCTCCGCTGTAACCTCGCTTGCTTAAGAGTGTGAACTCCTCCTTCATGCAGTGTTTCCATGTCTGCATCAGCGAAGCTCCGGGATGTATCGGCTCCTACATGATCCTACAGAATCAGTCCTATGGGGCTCCTATAGGGCTCCTGTAGGGATCCTATGATATCCTATAGGATCCGATAGGAATCCTATGGGAATTCTAGAGGGATCCCATGCGATCCTGTAGGATCCGATGGGAATCGTGTAGGAATTGTATAAGAATCCCGTGCGGTCCTGTAGGACCCTATAGGAATCGTATAAGGACTGTATAAGGATGCCATGCGATCCTATAGGGTCCTATGTGAATCGTATCGGGATTGTATAAGAATCCCATGCGGCCATGTAGGATCCTATAGGAATCGTGTAGGGATTGTATGAGAATCCCATGCGATCCTATAGGATCCTATGGAGCTCCTATGGGGATTGTATAGGAATCCCATGAGACCCTATATGATCCTACAGGAACCGTATAGGGATTGTATAGTTATCCCATGCGATCCTATAGGATCCTATAGGACTCGCATCAGGATGCTATAGGAACCCCATGCGATCCTATAGGATCCTACTGGAATCTTATAGGGAGTGTATAGGAATCCCGTGCGATCCTAAAGGGTCCTATACGGCTCCTGTAGGGATCCTGTGCGATCTCTAGGGTCCTATAGGGACCATGCAGAATCGTATAAGGATTGTTTAGGAACCCCATGCGACCCTATAGGATCCTACAGGAATCCTATAGGGATCGAATAGGGATCCTAAGCGACCCTATAGGATCCTAAAGCAATCGTATACAGTCCTATAGGAAGCGTATAGGGATTGTTTAGGAATCCCATGCGATCCTATCGGGTCCTATCGGAATACTATGGGGATTCTATAGGAATCCTATGCGACCATGTCGGATCCTATAGGAATCGTGTAGGGATTGGATGAGAACCCCATGCGATCCTATAGGATCCTATCTGGGGTCCTATAGGGATTGTATAGGAATCCTATGCGGTCCCAGGGGTCTTATAGTAATCGTACAGGGATTGTAAGGGAATCCCCAGCGATCCTATGGGGTCCTATAGGGCTCCTACAGGGATCCTATGCGATCCTGTCGGATCCGAGAGGGATCCTATGGGATCCTGCGGGGTTTGTACGGGCATCCCATGCGATCCTATGGGGTCCCATAGGTAATCGTATAGGGATCCTATAGGAAACCCATGCGATCCGATAAGGACCTATAGGAATCGTATAGGGATTGTATCGGGATCCCATGAGATCCTAAAGCCTCGAAAAGACCCCAGAGCCCCAAGACGGTCCACGACGACCCCAAAGAAGCCGTCATACCCCCAAAGATCGCTCCAAAACGTCCCAAGAGCCCTCCAATAGCACTCCCAAAGAGGCCCCAAGAGGCACAATTCTTTAATCTTCCATTGGTTTGGGTACATTTTAGGGTTCTCTTCTTTTCGGCTTCCCGACGCTCGAAGGCGGCGGTCTTCTGGGCGCCCGAAGCCGCCTGCGAGGCTCGAAAATCGCCCCATAACCATCCGAAAGGGCTTCCAGGCAGTCCAAGAGAGCCCCAAAACGGCACAACAGAGATCCAAGATGGACTAAGAGAGCCCCATGACGGCCTAAGATGGCCCCAAGACGCCCTCCGAAGGATTCCAAATCGTGACCCGGTCGTTCAGAGAGACCGCGGTTGGAGGCAGGGTGGCCCGAGGAAGCCCCCAGAGGCCCCCAGAAGACGCCCAGGAGGCCTCCAGAAGGCCGTAAGAAAGCATGAAAATCTTCTGTGAAGCTCCCAGAAACTCTCCAAGGACGAGCCTCCGCAAAAAGAGCTGAGGAGTATGGGGAGAATACGCAGGGCATGGCGAGAATTAGGAAAACTGAGCATGGAGGAAAAATAACGAACAAAAACATTGTCGTAACGGCGATGCCAGACAAGGCAACAAGGAATTATCGCTAAATTGTCGGCTTGACCTTCCTGTCATTCCGCCTGTATACCAAACTTCAAAGACCAAGGTGCCTGGTGCGAAGCGCCAGTGCAGTCTTGTATTTCTATATATATATATATATATGTATATAAACATATAAACTTACACATACACATCTATACATATACACATATTTACATTACTACATATATACAAACACATATGTATGTGCATGTATATATGTATGTGTGTATGTATAGATGTAGATATCGAAGCAAGCGTCCGACGGCGAAGCCGAATACATCTGCATGCAGCAGTGCAGCAAATCTCGTGCGCCCCTTTCCCAATGTTAAGACGAAGCCAAGACTGGGACAACATCGGACCAGGACAAACCAAGGACCTCTGAGATCCGGCGGCTCTGAAGATGAGTCGGGCGCCGCGGCAATTCCAGAGCGCTCCAAAACGCTCTGAGAGCGTTCCGGCACGCTCTGTAAGGATTGACTACCTACCAGACCACCCCAACCCAACCCGAAGACACGAATTTGAATCGAAAGTTCGGGTTGGGGGGGGTACGGGGTCCATGTGTTTTTTCAAAATGTTCCCCGACCCCCCCCCCCACAGGAAATGGAGGGCAAATTGAGGCCTTCGGGTTGGGTTGGGGTGGTCTGGTGCGCGGTGACCCTCGGCCTCATGGCAGCAGGAGGCGGATCAGGACAGGGGCAACGCCGACGACCGTACCAACTGCACGGGCCGCGAGGCACGACGACGGGCACGAGCACGGGCCACGAGCCACGAGGCCCCGGGACCAGGACAGGCGAGGCCCCGGGAACGCTGTGTCCTGCTCCTGCAGCCCCGCCCGATGGCACTGCACGCACTGCGCTTTCCGCCGGCCGCGGCCGCCGGCGCGCGCCGCCGCCCCGGCCGCGAACGCGCCGCCGGCCCACAGGGCCCCGAGGAGCCCTGCCGCCGAGAGCACGGCAGCGCGCCTGCGGGGAAGGGCGCCGCCGCCCTCGCCGTCGTCGTCGCCGCTGCCGTCGCCCGCCGTCGACGTCTCCGCCGCCGCCGCCGCCGCCGCCGCCGCTGCCGCCGCCGCCGCCGCCGCCGCCGTCGTCGTCGTCGTCGTCGTCGTCGTCGTCGTCGTCGTCGTCGTCGTCGTCGTCGTCGTCGTCGTCGTCGTCGTCGTCGTCGTATCGTCGTATGTGTAGGAGGGGGAGGAGGAAGAGGAGGAGGAGGAGGAGGAGGAGGAGGAGGAGGAGGAGGAGGAGGAGCAGGAGCGAGGAGCGAGGGGGGGCGAAGAAAGATAAGCGAGGAATGAATGACGACCAGCAGAAGAAGGCGGAGGGGGTATCTTACGCACTGAACATGGCTGCCACCAGGGCAGTTGATGTCATGGGCGTTCAGATTTTCATGAACTGCAGTGGCACGCTCTGGGCATTGCGATGACCGCCTTTTGCGATGAGCTCCAGCTACTCTCGATGCCACCTTTGGTCTCGCTTCTTTTACGCGTTTGACGGAGTCAGTGCGACAACGGCCCAGGTGAGAGCTCGCACGACCTGGCCCTGGCCGAGCGTCTACTTTCGCTAAGCTTGGATCTGATTTTGCAGACAACTCTGCTGAGATGGGGGCTGCAGGCCACCCAAGCACAGCAGAAGCCAAAGGACAAGCAAGAATGCCCACGCAGCTGGCTCGAGCATCTGTCCGTTGAGCCGCCGAGCAAGAAGCCCTGATGGCCACTCGAGGCCTGAGCGACGCCGAGGATATTGCTGAGCTGGCCGCCAGGGCCAAGAAAGGCGATCTCCTGTTGACCTGCCCTCCGAAGATCTCCAAAGCGGGTCTTCAAAGTGCCGACCAAATTGACCTGGAGGTCCTGATGGGCCTGACCCGCCATGCCGTAATAACAACTGTCGTTGTCGGAGCGAACGGACGGAGGGTGATCCGAGGTTCCGCCGTTTGTTTTTGCACGACGTGCGGCACTTACAGTTTGGGGGCATCGCATTTCTTTGTAAGGCTTGCCCCCCCACCTTTCGATTGCGCTTCGCAGGCAACGCTCCAGGGCGGCGCAAATGTACTCCCCTGGGTGGGCATCACCATGTAAGGGGTGGACTAGGGAGCCTCGCCCTGTGTTGCCATTGCTGCCCGCTCTGCTGGATCGTCCTTTAAACCTTCGTGGCCTGGGGGGGGGAACGTGGTGGGGCTTAGCGGGCCTGGAGTCTGGGGGGAGCGATGGACACCCCAGAAGCTCGCTTCTCGCTTCGGACTCTTTCCGGAGGATGTTTCTTTATGGAGCAAGAAGCTTGATGAGCAGGGAAGTCAGAAACGCAAGACAGTACCTCCATCCAACTCAGAGCTGGAGTACATCACCTTATATACTACTGTCATCGTCCTGGTGGAGGAACGTATTCATTACTGCTGCCGAGGGTCACAGTCATCGGCCGCACTGGGAAATAGACATAGACTGGAGCGAGGAAAATAGACTCTACAAAAATGTGGAGCGAGGAGGGGCGAGGAAGGGGCAAGTCTTAAACTAGCCTAGCGAAGGATCCAACCATATTCAGCTGTAGGTAGCGCAATCGCGTGCAGGTTCAGCTGTAGGTACCATATTCAGCCCTACGTGAAGCTCCCTGTGGGGCCACGAAACGCTGTCCTGGGTGGGGGGGGACGCATGCGAGCACCGTCATGGGCTTCAAGTGGAGCTCCCTGTGGGGCCGCGAAACGCTGTTCTGGGTGGGGGAAACGCATGCGAACACCGCCACCAGAGCCTTGGGTGGAACTCCTTGTGGGGCCACGAAACGCTGCCCTGGGTGGGGGGGACGCATGCGAACACCGCCACTCGGGCCTTAGGGGGAGCTCGATGTGGGGCCACCAAACGTTGTCCTGGGTGGGGGAGACGCATGCGAACACCGCCACCGGGGCCTTAGGTGGAGCTCCCTGTGGGGCCACGAAACGCTGCACTGGGTGGGGGAGACGCATGCGAACACCGCCACTGCGGCCTTAGGTGGAGCTCCCTATGGGGCCGCGAAACCCTGTGCTGGGTGGGGGAGACGCATGCGAACACCGCCATTGAGGCCTTCGATGGGGCTCCCTGTGGGGCCACGAAACGTGTAAGGGCTGTGGCGAAATTAGTGGCGATGATGGTGACGATAACGGTGGTGATCATGACGTCGATGATGATGATGATGATGATGATGATGATGATGATGATGATGATGACGATGACATGGCGATGATGATGATGATGATGATGATGATGATGATGATGATGATGATGATGATGATGATGATGCTGATGACAACGACGAGGACATGCGCAGGGCAGAGGCAGGGATGGGAGGAGGGAGGAGGGGGAGGAGGAAGGAAGGAAAGAAGGAAGGAAGGAAGGACGGAAGGAACGCGGGGCGCTGTCTCTTCAAAACGAAGACCCAACACCGCAGGATGGTTGGGAAAAGCGGACCCCCTCAGCTCAACGTTCAAACCTGGTAACCCAGATTTTAAGCCCTGGCCGCCCTCTGGCGACGAGGAGCAGGAGGGGGAGTAACACAAGGAACTGGACGACGACGTGGAAGACAAGGCTGAGAACGCGGGTGCGCTGGACCAGTATCGGGCGTTTTTCGGGACCATGCCCCAGAGCCCGAGTCCTGGTGAAGGTGAAAACGACAAGGAGGAACGAGGAAGACGGAGGAGGCGGATGAGGACGATGAGGAACCACATGACGACTGTAAAGAGGACAATGAGGACGTTCCCGGGGTCGCCAAGGCTCAAAATGTGCGCCCTCGGGCTGAACATCTACTAGTTCAAGGCCTCGATGTTTAAGCCAGACCACTCAGACTTTGGCTAAGAGTTTGAGACACCCTGCGTCACCCCGGAAGCGCCATCCTTGTCCTCCTCCCTCTCGTCATCCTCGCCATCCTCCCTCTTCTCCTCCCCCTCCTCCTCCTCCTCCTCCTCCTCCTCCTCAGCCTTATTGCCACGGTCCTTGTCATCCACCTCCCTCTTCCCCTCGCATCCCCCCGAACGCCAGAGGAAGAGGAGGGGGAGAAGAAGGAGGAGAAGGAGGCTGAGGAGGAGAAGGAGGAAGTGGTGAGGATAATGGTGCTGTCCCCAGAAGAGCAAGTGGTGAGGATAATGATACTGATGGTGGTGTTGGGGCGTAGGCGTGGAGGAAGAGAGCGCGCCCTTGTTGGCGGCGCCGGGGGCAATCGCGCACGAGGTGCTCCTCGGAGTCGCACTCGTAGCATGTGAGACGCACCCCGTCTGGGGCCGTGGGGCTGCCTTGGCGGACCGAGCCCATGCCGTTGGCCCTGAACTCCCCCTTCCCCCTACCTTTGCCCTTCGCGATATCCGCGAAGGTCTCCTGGAGGTCGTTCTCGGACAGGGTGGCTAGGAAAACGCGGTCGCTTCTACCTTTGCCCTTGTCCTTCCGTTTGATTACCCTCCGAACGTGGGGCGTGGGCTTGTGGTTGCTGACGCTGCGACAGCGTGCTTTGGCGCGCTCGTCAGCCCAGAGGAGGTGCGCGCCACGTTGTTCCACGGGATTTTCGCGTGGCTCGGGGTCGTCGGCGGCTTTCTCCTCGCCGAATGAGCTAGCGGCGTCGGCGTCGGTGCCTGAGTCGATCTCTGCCGCTCAGTCTGCCCCCTCTGTGCCTGTGTTGCCGCGGTGGAGGCGCCGCCTCCAGACGTGGCCTCGGCCAGTGCAGGGGGGCTTGGTGCCAATCCCAGTGCAGCGGGGCCCATGCCGTCCCAGCTCTGCTCCTGCGTGGGCGCGCCCGTGAGGAACGCGTGCTGTTGGGCAGAGTGGGCCGCCGAGGCGAGGTTGCCTGGCGAGACCTCTATCATGTGCCCGAAGCGTTTCAGATGGCCTATCATATGAGTGAGCTGCTGAACGTTCCTGGGTAGGCCATATTGCAGTGCTGTAGGAGCATGACGAGTTTAATGTTCGACGCGCCTTCGGCGCGCCGCAGGAGGGAGCTGAGCCCATCGCAGCCGATCATGAGTTGACCAGCTTGCTGCGCCCAGTTGCGGAACATGCCAGACCTCACTAGGAAGTTGTCGACGCGCTCCTGCGGCAGTCGGTTGAAATTCATCAGAGCCGATGCCGCCGAAGCGCGCTCCCCCTCACCCAGCTGACCACATCGTTCGGCCAAGCTGTGCATTAGGAGGGTCATCGGTGGCAGTGGGTTGCCGCTTATGAGTCCTCCCTGGATCAGGACAGCCGGCGGCCATTCGTCCACGAACTCGCGCGCCATGGGGGGGGAGCATAGATCCCATGCCCCCTACTGCGATCCCGCTCGGCACCGGCGACACAGTCGCCGGATTCCCTGCTTGCTCCTTCCAGGGCCTAGGGCTCTCGAGACACAGTCCCACGATGTTCGGAAACTGGTCCTGACGCCGCAGGTGTAAACGATTTGTCGAGCAGCTGTCTAGCACCTGAGGCTACCCCCATGGGCGGGGGCACTGACAGTTTGGGCTCCGCGAGTTGCCTGGGCACAGTCCGAGCGTGTCTGGGATGGGTCGCAGGGCGGTCCTTGTAGATCTTGTTGACGTTGTTCTTGGTGAAGCACAGGTTGTGCACGTTCTTGATCACTGGTCTTGGCGATTGGGCGGATGCCCCGACGGACGCTCGGGAAACGTCTCCTGCCATAGCAAGCGGAGAAAGGTGCACGAAGGTGGACGTGTTGAAGGCGGTGTGCGCACTCCCTGTCGCGGGTCTTGGCGGATGGGCTGGTACAGCCCCGACGGACCGTAAAGGAACGTCTCTTGCCATAGCGAAGGGGAGGAAGGGCACGAAGGCGTAGATGTTGAAGGCGATTAACCGAATGCGAAGGCGGCGGAGTAAGTCATCGCGGCCGACGCGAGGCGAAACATGGCGGCCGTGGTTGGAGCAAGGGTGAACCTGCTCTGCTTTCGACTAGGAAGGAAGATGTAAGAAAAGACACGGTATTTTCCGTAACGGAAATGCAGCGTATGATGGTCTAGGCCGGAATGTCTAAGGCGCGTCTAAGGCGGGCACGGAGCACTGATCAGGCCTTGAGCCGAGACAGCGCAGCGGGCCAGCAAAGGTGAGAAACAAGGCGCTGGACAATGAGCTACCGTTCGAGTGAGGAGAAGAGGAGGAAGAGGAAGAGGAAGAGGAAGAGGAGGAGGAGAAGGAGGAGGAGCAGGGAACAGAGGAGGAGGATGAGGATGAGGATGAGGATGATGAGGAGGAGGAGTAGGAGGAGGAGGAGGAGGAGGAGGAGGAGGAGGAGGAGGAGGAGGAGGAGGAGGAGGAGGAGAGAGGGGAGGCGGAGCGGAGGAGGGGGAGGAGGTGGTGGAGGAGGGGGAGGAGGAGAAGGAGGAGAAGGAGGAGGAGAAGGAGGAGAGGAGGGAGGAGGAGGGGGAGGAGGAGGGGAGGAGGAGGAGGAGGAGGAGGAGGAGGAGGAGGGGAGGAGGGAGGAGGAGGAGGAGGAGGAGGGAGGAATAGGAGGATGAGAACAAGGAGGAGGTTGAGAAGGAGGAGGAGGAGGGGAAGGAGGAGGAGAGGAAGAGGATGATGATGATGATGATGAGGAGGAGGAGGTGGAGGAGGAGAAGGAGGGGGAGGAGGAGGAGGAGGAGGAGGAGGAGGAGGAGTAGGAGTAGGAGGAAGAGGAAAAGGATGAGGGGGGGAGGTGGAGAAGGAGGAGGAGGAGGAGGAGGACGAGGAGGACGACTAAGAGGAGGACGTTGAGGAAGAGAACGTGTTGAAGACCCTCCCCGAGAATCGCCTGCGCCGTAGCTGCATCGGCTCTGGCATCGCACGGGCGCGTCAACGCCCGTCAGTGTGTCTTGTACGGGTGCTCGCCTGGTGGCCCTCCCTTCGCACTCGAGCCAGAAGGCGGCGGGCGCGTCGGGCGGTCGGCGGATGCAACGCCCCCTTAGGAGGGAAGGCCCGGAAAGGAGGGCGGAGGAGGAGAAGGGGGAGGGGGAGGACGAGAGAGAAACGAGGAGGAGAAGGAGGAGGAGGACGAGGAGGAGGAGGAGGACGAGGAGGCGCAGTAGGAGGAGGAAAAGCAGGATGAGGATGATGATAAGGAAGAGGAGGAGGAGGAGGAGAGGAGGAGGAGGAGGAGGAGGAGGAGGAGGAGGAGGAGAGGAGGAGAGGAGGAGGAGGAGGAGGAGGAGGAGGAGGAGGAGGAGGAGGAGGAGGAGGAGGAGGAGGAGGAGGAGGAGGAGGAGGAGGAGGAGGAGGAGGAGGAGGAGGAGGAGAAGTGTTGCCTGGCGAGCGATTGATTGGGGCGTGTCCTCCCTCCAAGCAGAGGCGACGCCCAGGCGCGGCACCCGCAAGAGTCGCGCCATGGCCGCCGCTGGCCCCCTACGCGGAGCTTTCAATGCTGTAACGAGCCGAGTGGGGGGCTGCCCGCCCGTGTGCCAGCCCAAGCATACAGGTACATCGACAATTCCATCGAGGAGGTCACAACGAGCGCGGGAGGCCAGAATGTACGGCCGCATTGGAGCCTTGTCGAGGCGCCGCCGTCCCGAAGCATGCGAAGCAGCGCTCTGGAACAGAGGTCCGACCCAGTACAGTCATCGGCCTGACCTAAGGAACGATCAATAAGGAACGAAGCCCCTTTGTATCCCAAGGAATAACGCATAAGGAACGATAAATAATACAGAACGCATAAGGAACTGTAACTAACGCATGTAAAATCTAAGGAACGACCGAGCCCCTTTTGAAAAGTAACTGTTCCTTATTCAAGCCGCTCACTGTACTACATCATCGTCCAGGTGCTCTCCGCCAACAGTATCACCACCATCGCCAGCGACATCGACCTCATCCCGAGCACCACCGCCTCGCAGGAAAACCTGGCAGGCCCCGGCGCCGACCCCGCGAGCGAGGCGTGCACCGTTTGCACATGCGGCGCCGTCGCCTTTTTCAACCCATCAGCCGCGCTCCCGATTAAAGCGGCCCTACAGGAGCACAGCCGTCAGCAGGCTATGCAGGAGGAGCCGCCGGCAGCGCCAGCCCCACCCAGCACACCTGTGCAGGGGCTTGCGGCCGCGTGTATGGGCACCCCCAATTTTTAGTATCGGCGTGGGCACGGGCAAGGACATGGGCGGTCGGCGTATCCGCTTTGCGCCCTGCCACGAGGTCTACGTATACGAGAATGAGGGCAAGGAGGATGAGGACGAGGAGGAGGAGGAGGACGAGGAGGCACAGTAGGAGGAGGAAAAGCAGGATGAGGATGATGATAAGGAGGAGGAGGAGGAGGAGGAAGAGGAGGGGGAGGAGGAGGAGGAGGAGGAGGAGGAGGAGGAGGAGCAGAGCAGAGCAGAGCAGAGCAGAGCAGAGCAGAGCAGAGCAGAGCAGAGCAGAGCAGACCAGCGCAGAGCATAACAGATCCTCGTGGAGTCCCTGTAAAGGTACCGACCGCGAAGCTCGGAACAAACTTGACTGATCTCTGAGAGGGTTCCTTCGAAACCAGACGTCTCACGTTGCGAGCCCCTCTAAGGCTCACAGTAAACACTGCGCTGGCCGACGGGCACCCCAATAGGCACGCAGCCTTCTGCGGGGGCCCGTGCATCATGCGCGACGACCGCTTCCCTTCTCCCGCCCACCAGAGCCCGCCCCGCGCCTCCCCCTCCCAGGGTGTCGGTCTCCTCTGCCACGATTCGAGGGCAAACTAATTACAGGGATATCAGGAGCGCTAACTGCTGCGAGCCCTTCTGGAATATTAGCTGGAGGCCTGCTAACTGCCCGAGCGATTTGTTCATGATGTGTTTCCTGCTGCTACTAATGATGCAGCGCTACTTGCCATCATTTGGGAACCTACTAGCAAACCGCACGCGACTGCGGTCTACACTGCTGCTGCTTACATCTTCAAGGGGGAACTCACTCCTCTGTCCTACGCCGAGGGCCCCTGATCGAGAGACTTCGAAATCTCTCGCACCAGCGGGCCCCGCGGCGCCAAGCCTGAAAGGAGGGCCACCCCCCCGCCGCCGCCAAAGTCTCGATCGTCGGGCCCATCGCCGAGCCCGACTCGTGATGCAAATCCATATTGCACAAGAAAATGGCCTTGCCCTTCTGGCCCTCTACTTCGCGATGCAATCTGACCCGAAAATACTGGGCCGCTCGAGCAACCGCGGGCAGCTCCGCACTCGACAGCTCCTCGCCCCAGATGGTTCGCATGTCTTTCTTGAGCTTTTCCGCCCGTGCACGACTCGAGGGATCTGCTTCTTCCGCCGTCGGCTCTGTCTCTCCGTGCTCCCGCGCTGCCGCGAATATTTGTAGATGCGGAGCCGCCCGCTTCTCGTGGTTCACCTGTTCTCCAGCGTCTGCGCGCCGCTTCATCTCTTTGCTCGTCTCGTTGTATACCGCTCCTGCCGCGACCGCGGCTGCAATCGTGCCCTGGCCTGCGTCCATCTCGTACCTCGCGTGACGCGCAGCTCCTAGGTCTGCCAGCTCCCGACCGTTGACGAGTGCCAGCTTGCGAATGACCATGGGGATCTTGTCGAAGGGAACGCGCCCGCCATGGCCGCCCGACGCCTGAGTCTTGGACTTCTTGTGGTCGGGCTGGGCGCAGTCGGCGCCTGGGGTTGGCGCATTTGCGCCAGGCAGGTCTCTGGGGGCCCTCTAGCTCCATGATGGAAGCCATGTGCGTCAGTAGAGATGGTGCGAGAAGTCCATGTGGAGGGCGCAATCTGGACAGGCAGATGGCTTCGGGGATGGCGACTGGGCAACTTCTTCCAGGTTCCTTGGGCTCGTTGGACGCACCTCGTCAGCTACACGCTATGTGGCTCACCGCCAGGCATTCAGCGTGGTCGCCAGCTGTCCATTCGTGTGCTGCTTCCTGGGCTACCCCAACGACAACCCCAGGGCGGACTGAATGGCAGACATTTCCTCCTCCGTGCTCGTCGACTTCGGTAGCAGCCGCCCCAGCCCGACCTGCTTCGAGGTACACCCCAGCATGTGCAGCACGACGGCGTGCAATTCCGCGGCCCAATCGCAGCAGCAGGTGAATGCGACGATCGACGATCGCTGTCACCGTTGAGGCCCCAATCGTGCTTGGTCTGTCGGCAGCACGGCCCTCGGATTACCATTTTGCCTCTGTAGGCCGCTTCCTCGTCGCGGGTCACCCCCGCCGCCCCCCCCCAATCTGTCGGTGTTTTTCGGGACTCGGGACTCGACGTTTGCCCGCCTTGTCCAGCTCCTCCAGCTCCTCCTGCTTTCGTAGCTCTCAATGTGTCTTCTGCGCAGCCGCCGTGCAGTGCAAGGCTTCAGGTTTCCTCGTTGCGGGTCCGCCCCCGCACTGCTGCCTGGTTCGCTGCTTCTTCGGCCGCTGACTTTCCCCCTGGTCAGCGGTCCGTCGCTCAGCATGCTGGCTGCTCTTCTCCACGCCAGTCTGTCCGTGGCCGCTTAGTGCATCGAGTCATAGCTCCTGTGTTTCAGTTCTTCAGTCTATGCGAGGGGTCAGTGCTCTTCACTCTGGCCCCTGTTCGCCTCTGTTGCCCCTCTTGGCCTGGGATGGCGCCAGTCCGTCTGGTGTTCGAGCCTCTCTCGCCTTTGAGGGGCAGCGTTTTTTTCCCCAACCATCCCGTGGTGTTGCGGTTCCCCCACCCAGGGCAACGTTTCGCAGCCCCATAGGGAGCTCCACCGAAGGTCCCAGTGGAACAGCCCGCATGCGGTTCCCCCGCCCAGGGCAGCGTTTCGTAGCCCCATAGGGAGCTCCACCGAAGGTCCCAGTGGCACAGCCCGCATGCGGTTCCCCCACCCAGGGCAGCGTTTCGTTGCCCCATAGGGAGCTCCACCGAAGGTCACAGTGGCACAGCCCGCATGCGGTTCCCCCGCCCAGGGCAGCGTTTCGTAGCCCCATAGGGAGCTCCACCGAAGGTCCCACTGGCCCGCATGCGGAGGCAGCGTTTCCCTCCACCGAAGGCCCAGTGGCAGGGTCCCGCATGCGTTTCGTGGCCCCATAGGGAGCTCCACCGAAGGCCCCATTTCGCATGCACACACCCCTCACACGTTTCGTGGCCCCATAGGGAGCTCCACCGAAGGCCCCAGTGGCAGGGTCCGCATGCCTCCCCACCACCCATTTCGGCACACCCCTCACACGTTTCGTGGCCCCATAGGGAGCTCCACCGAAGGCCCCAGTGGCAGGGTCCGCATGCCTCCCCACCACCCATTTCGGCACACCCCTCACACGTTTCGTGGCCCCATAGGGAGCTCCACCGAAGGCCCCAGTGGCAGGGTCCGCATGCCTCCCCACCACCCATTTCGGCACACCCCTCACACGTTTCGTGGCCCCATAGGGAGCTCCACCGAAGGCCCCAGTGGCAGGGTCCGCATGCCTCCCCACCACCCATTTCGGCACACCCCTCACACGTTTCGTGGCCCCATAGGGAGCTCCACCGAAGGCCCCAGTGGCAGGGTCCGCATGCCTTCCCACCACCCATTTCGGCACACCCCTCACACGTTTCGTGGCCCCATAGCGAGCTCCACCGAAGGCCCCAGTGGCAGGGTCCGCATGCCTCCCCACCACCTATTTCGGCACACCCCTCACGAGGATTGTGGCCCCATAGGGAGCTCCACCGAAGGCCCCAGTGGCAGCGTTCGCATGGCGACCCCGCCCCATTTCGGCACACCCCTCACGAGGATTGTGGCCCCATAGGGAGCTCCACCGAAGGCCCCAGTGGCTGCGTTCGCATGGTGGCCCCGCCCCATTTGGCGCACCCCTCACGAGGATCGTGGCCCCATAGGGAGCTCCACCGAAGGCCCCCAGTGGCAGGATTCGCATGGCGGCCTCGGGCCATTTCGGCGCACCCCTCACGAGGATCGTGGCCCCATAGGGAGCTCCACCGAAGGCGCCAATGGCAATCTCCCTCATGGCTCTCAGAACCCTTTCCTGTTTCTGCTCTTCGGTCAGGGGGGCGCCGTCCTCGTGGTCGTCGGCGCCCGCGAAGACGGCCACAAAC